CACGGTAATTCCCAAAGGAATTTCAAAGCTGGGCGCGAGTTTCGTGTGCTCAGTGTGCTCATCTCCTGGGGCCGCCGGGTCTGGCTGGGAGCTTGCAGGGTCGCTAAGCGAGCCCGGGGTGGGGGGAGCATGGCAGGGGGGAGGGGCAGATGCTTGTGGGAGGGTGGAGGGCAGGGGGCTTGTGGGGTGGAGGCTCCCAGCCAGCCGGGACCTGCCCTGCTGAGCCCAGGAGAGAAGCCAGAGCCCAGTGGCACTCAGCCAATGGTGGGTTCCCCCAGAAAGGCCTGGAAAAGGGGTGCCGGTTCTTTTGGAGCAAGTGCTAGGACAGACCAGGTTATCAGAATTCTGGGAGAGGGTGTGGAGTTGATCCGGGGGGCAGTTAAACATGACAGCTGGCTCTGCTTGGAGGCCCAGCAGCTCTGGGGGCTCTGGAGGTCCCCAGAGAGAGAGCCTGTGCTCCCCGACAAGTCTGTGGAGCACCAGCAGGGCAGCGCGTCCAGCCCGGGACCAGAACTGGGCTTGCCTGCGATGCGGGTCAGGGCAGCCGTGGGTCTTGGTCCCTTGGCTCAGGCCCTCTCTGGGTAGCCGGTTTCCAAGCAGTCCTGGATCACCCAGTTCGTTCCCACCCCATCTGTCCACACCTTCCCTGGTGTCCATGGGTATGGGCGGGCGAGAGGCCTGACATGGCCGTCTTGGCCGGTGTCCAAGCCAGAGTCGTGCGGTGAGGAAGGGGGACCGCGGCCGTCCTGGCCTAGCGGCCCATAGGCCCTCACGTGTGAAAGGGAGCGAGCAGCTGCTACAGGCAGCACCAGCCAGGCCTTGGGTAGCGTCTAAGGCCTGGCCAGACCACGCTGGGCTGCGGAGAGACCCCACCCCACCACCAATGGTTGGTGTCAGAGGCGTCCCTGCGAGCCGCTGCTGCAACTGCAGGGAGGGCCCCAGAGCCCAACCCCAGCCGAGCAAAGACGATGCATGAATGGCTGAAATGTTAGAAATCGCGTCCTTAAATATGGGACGAGTGGGAGCTGGCTGCTGGCCCGCATAAAGGCTGCTGGCATGAATTCCAACTCTATATCGTTGGGAGAACTTGGGAAATAAGCTCTCTGTTTAAAGCAGTGTTCCAAGGCATTTTGTTTGCTCATTCATTCAACAAACATGCATGGAGGCCGTGCCATGGCCCAAGCATCGTGCTGGTCAACAAGGGGCCAGACACAGGCTTTGTACCCTGAGGGATCCCAGCTTGGGCAAGAGGGGTGGCAGGAGCCATGGACAGAGAGTTCGAAGCAGAGGGGGCAGGCCGGCGCGTGAGGGAGCACAGGGTCGCGGGGAGCCAGCTGCAGGGGAGCAGGGGCCTGGAGCCAGGGCGGGCCTTCGGGGGAGGTAATGCCTGAATCAAGTCTTAAGGGATGAGTAAGTGCTTGGGAGCCTGGGCAGGGGTTATGAGAACATTCTGGAGTTCAGAATGGTCTGGAGAGCAAAGACCCAAAGGCAAGAAAAAGTGAGCGTGTGTGTGTGTGTGTGTGTGTGTGTGTGTGTGTGTGGCCCTGTGGCTGGGGGATTACAATGGGAGGCAGAGGGTACCGGGCCTGAAAGGGGACAGAGGCAGGGACCGGATCAGGAAGGCCACACGTTCCTTGTGAAGGACGTTGTCTTTTATTCCATGAGGAACGGGGAGATGTTAGGGCAGGGGAGTGAACTGGGGCCCCCTCTGCCACAAGTATTAATTGGGTTTCTTTTAGCTGCAACTCACAGAAACCCAGTTCCATTAGCCGAAGTGCAGGAGGATGCTATTGGCTTTCAGCCGTGCGCTGGATGCAGGAGCTCAGCGATGTGAGGAATGCCCCCCGTCCGCTTTCCTGAGTGGGCCTCGCCCTCGGTGGGCACTGCCGCGCTGGCAGAGTGGCCGCCGGCAGCGCCCGACCCCCGCTTGGCTGACAGAGCGCCGCGTGCTTGGCAGCTCCAGCGGGAGTCCTGAGGCTGTTCTCGGAGTCTGGGGTTGGGTCACAAGCCTGTCCAGGAACCGGGCAGATTTGCGAGACCCGGGTCACGTGCCCGGCTCTGCAAGCAGGGGCAGGGTGGCCACGGGGACTGCGGGGAGGTCGGGAGGGGGAGACGGGTGAAAACAACAGGTGTCCAGTCAGAGACTGGCTGATGCCTTTTGTGAGAGACGTCCAGAAGGCGCAGACCCGCAGGGACACAGCGCTGACGGGAGGAGGCTGGGGCTGGAGGCGAGGGAGGGCGACTGCCTGAGGGGCAGGGGGATTCCTGGTGGGGCGATGAGAATGTTTTGGAACTAGATAGAGGCTATGGCTGCACACACCATGAATGTACTACATGCCACCGAATTGTTCGCTTTAAAATGGTGAATTTAGGCCGGGCGCGGTGGCTCACAGCTGTAATCCTGACACTCTGGGAGGCTGAAGTGGGTGGATCGCTCAAGGTCAGAAGTTCGAAACCAGCCTGAGCAAGACCGAGACCCCCATCTCTACTAAAAACAGAAAGAAATTAATTGGCCAACTAAAATATATATAGAAAAACTTAGCCGGGCATGGTGGTGCATGCCTGTAGTGCCAGCTACTCGGGAGGCTGAGGCAGGAGGATCGCTTGAACCAAGGAGTTTGAGGTTGCTGTGAGCTAGGCTGACGCCACAGCACTCTAGCCCGGGCAACAGCCTTGTCTCAAAAATCTTATAAATAAATAAATAAAATGGTGAATTTTATGTTATGTAAATCTCACCTCAATGAAAAATAAAAAACAAAAAAAAAACAACGGTTGTTTCCCCCACCCCCACCCCCACCCCCAGCATTGGGGGCTTTCCCTCATCCACGGGGGCTGCTAGGGGACATGGCTCCTTTCCTTCCCTTTCTTCCTGCTCTCTCCCTCCTTAAATCTCAGAGGGCTTGGGACCCGAAGTGGGTTTTGAGCCAGAGGCTGCTCCGCAGGTACATTCTGGGCATGGTCGCTGGCAGGGCCACTGCCCACTGCAGGGACGGGGAAATGCCTGGATGGGTTGTCCAGGGGCAAGTTCCCGTATTTTCATGAGACCTGGTAGAGCGAGCTCCAGGGAGATGCCAAGGACATCTTGTTCAGAGGAGAGATGGGGAGCGGGGTTTGCTGGGCGGACACTCGGCCAGCTGCACCTGCTTTCTCCAGGCCGTGGGCAGTGGAGACGGTGCTGTCACTGCTTCGGGTCCAGGCTGCAGCTCCGACTGGCCTTGAGGACTTGGAGTGCTGAAATTCCATCCCCGCTTGGCGCAGAGGGTGCTCAGTGACGCCACCGCGGGAAAGGGCTGGTCCTGGGGAGAGGTGTCCACACTGGGATCGCTCCGGGGAAGAGGGCCTGGGCTCTTGCCGAGCTGGGGTTTGGGTGGAGCCCACAGCCGCCTTGGGGCTCTCCCAGAACAGTCCTGGCTCCTTCAGGAGCGGGAGTTTCTCTCCAAACCCGCTGCCTTGGGCTGCTCAGCATAAGCTGGCTGTGGCGGGAGGGGGACTTCTGGTCCCCAGCTGGCTGGCACTGTGCTTGTCTGGTGTGGACATGGGACCAGTCCCTTGGCTGTGCTGTGCTCTCTCTCTGCCCCTGCTTTGAGCTGGGGACAGGCTGATCTACAGCCCAGGTGTCCACCCCACCCACCAGCACCAAGTCACCTGGGGCCAGGGCCTCCTCGGCAACGTGTACTAGATCCCGGCCCCTGTCCTCCACTGCCCCCTCGCCGTGGTCCGGGTCAGAATGTCCGGGATTTGTCCACAAACTGAGGTTAGAGGATGATCCGACAATGGGACCATATTTTGCTCCCAAAGGCTAAGGATTCTGCACCTGTTTTCCCCCTGCCCGGATGTTGCAGGGCAGGAATTCTCGAACATGTAGGGTACTGGGCTGGGTGGCCTGGGTTCAAATCCTGACTCCACCACTTCCTGGCTGAGGGACCCTGGACAAAGCACTTCACGTTGCTGGTGCCCTGTCTCCTCATCTGTAAGGAGGGGGCAGTGACACTACCCCTCCGTAGGGGCCTCCCTTTCATGTCCACCCAGACCCTCAGAACATGACCCTATTTGGAAAAGGGTCTTTGCAGATGCAATTAGTTAAGGATGGCCAGATGGAACCATCCTGGATTTAGGGTGGGCCCTAAAGCAATGGCTGGTGTCCTTATAGGAAGAGGTGAGGACACACAGAGAGAAATACACAGAGGGGAGGGGGCCATGTGAAGACACAGGCAGAGAGTGGAGTGATGTGGCCACAAGCCAAGGAGTGCCAGGAGCCACTGGAAGCTGGAAGAGGCCGGGAGGGATTTTTTTCTTAGAGCCTTTGGAGGGACTGTGGCCTTCCTAACACATCCTGAACTGTGATAGAACTAATTTCTGTTGCTTTAAGCACCCCAGTTTATGGTAACTTCTAATGGCAGCACCAGGGAACAAGTACACCCTCTCAAAGGACAGTTATCACCGAAAGCTGGTGACACACAGCGCACAGTAGGTGCTCAATGAACATTCACTACCATTTCTGTGCTGCCTTCCTCGGGGAAAGGAGGAAGCGTGGGAGACAGGAAGAGGCATCATCAGGACAGCTCAGGAACCTTTAAGGATGGCAGCCTGTGGGCCTGGAGGGGACCCATGTGTCAAAAGGAGCATCCCAGGGTCTCCAGGGGGGCCCGGCCCTGGCTGAGACCTGTCTCACCCTGCCCTGCTGGCGGGCTGCGGCTGAGCCCTGGGAGGACAGAACCAGAGGGAGAGAGAACGGGAGTCAGCTGGGAAGGGCAGCTGCAGGCCGAGGGCCCAGGCCTGCGGGAGGAATGCTCGCGGCCCTGGATCACGGCTCGCAGGCCAATCGCTGCCTGCTGACACATCGCGCCCAGGGGGAGGACAGCGGTGACCTCATGCTGGTTGTCAAACACTCAGGGCCCTTCCCAGCACCACCCAAAGCTTCAGCGTTGCCCAGAGGGAGCTGTCCCCACCCCACCCCTGCCCAACTCTGTGAGCTGTCCCCGCCCCTGCACACACAGCAGGACAATTGGACCTTCCCAGCCAAGACTTGAGTGGCGGTTTATTATTTGGATGCTTTTTGGAATGGGCGAGGCCAGCAGTTCCCGCTTCCCCGAGGGCAGCCGGACCGTAGAGCCTGGCCTGCGTGCGGCACAGCTGCCACGGCTGCATGGCGGGACTAGCTTCGGAGGGTTCGCCCCCAGGGCCGGAGTCCATTCTCTCCTACCTTCCTCTATGAAAATAATGGCTTGCAGATGGGGAAACTGAGGCCCAGAGGAGGCGAGGCCTTGCTGTATATCTCCAAGCCAAAGAGCATCTTGGCAAGAGAGTGGGACTAGAACTTGGAAGTGATCTTGGGCAGAGCTCTGTTCTGCTTCCTGGAGCAGGGACCTCTTCCCAGGCTGCTACACCCTGGGGCACCTCAGCGGCCCTGCTCCCGGTGCCTGCGTGGGCCCGAGTCAAGGCATCGTGGCGCCTGGCCCCTAGAAGCAACTTCATTTCCTCTGCCGTCACCGTCTAAAAGTGAGCGATTCTCCTGACAGCACTGCTTGAGCTCTCTGAGCTGCCTCTGCCCCTCCAGACTTCAGAGAGAGAGAGAGAGAGAGAGAGAGAGAAAGCTCCAGGTGGTCGTCTCGGACACTGGATTGTCACATGACCATGGACAAGAAGTTTAGGAGAGTCTAATGAGACTGGACATCTAGTGTCGAGCATGAGTCCCCAGGTGTCCAGGGCACATCCAGCCTCTAACTGTCCTCTGTCCCCCAGGAGAGAGTGAAGGGCTGCACTGCACTTGAGCTACCTTGGTCCCTGCCTGTGCCTGGGGACCTGGGAACACGGGCAGGGCCGGTTGGAGCTCCCCGCGGCTCCTGCTTCTTTGTTTTACCATATTTAATACCAATATTTAAGCATCACCAAGGCAACAGCCCAAACCTCCTGGCCCTCGGCCCCCTTCCAGCCCCACACGGTGGGGCTGAGGGCAGGAGGGGAGCAAGGAAAATGAGTCAATTGTCCCCTTGCCCCACAACCACCTGGGAAAACAGTGGCCTGAAAAAGACATCCTGGCAGGGCCACTGCTCTTTTTCGTGGTCCCACGACGGAGCACTTTTAACACAAGCAGGACAGAGTCTTGCAAGACCTCTGTGCTAATATATACTTCATTTTTGCTGTTGTGGTCAGAGCCCACAGGTTTTTTCAGATTTTTTATTGAAGTTGAACATCTACGAAGAAAGTGTACAAACCTTAAAGGTACAACTTTCACAAACTACAATTTTTGCAAACTGAACATGCAAGCACCCAATCAAGGATCAGCACATGACCGGCAGGAGTCCCCACCCTCCTGACATGGCCTCAAGGTAAGCGTCATCCTAACTTCTACAGCGTAGGCAGTTTGCTTGTTTCTGTACTTTATACAAATGGAGCCATACACTCTGCTCTCTTTGGGGTTGAAGCCAATGGAATTTTTTAGGCTTGAGTTGCCCTTCTCACCTCCAGCTCTGGGGGTGGGAGAGAATGAATGAAATAGAAGGCACTTTTCTTGTGCCCATAGGTCACATGGGTGTCAATGAGAGGGACGGGAATGCATGGTTTCAGCTGATATATAGAATTAAGTGGGGGTAGAGAGGGTAGAGGGGTCTTGATTTTTTAAAAAGGCACATGCTGGGTGCGGTGGCTCATGCCTGTAATTCCAGCGCTTTGGGAAGGAGAGACAGTAGGAGGATCACTTGAGCCCAGGAGTTTGAGACCAGCCTGGGCAACATAGCAAGACCTTGTCTCCAAAAAAAAAAAAAAAGAAGTTAGCCAGACACTGTGGTGTGCACTATAGTCCCAGCTACTTGGGAGGCTGAGGCAGGAGGATCGCTTGAGCCCAGGTGTTTGGAGTTACAGTGAGCTATGATCACACCACTACACTCCAACTTGGGTGACAGAGCAAGACCCTGTCTCAAAAACAAAAACAAAAAACCAAAATCTAGCAGCATTTTTCCTTGAACTATGTAGCTGGATTTGTATGCACCTGGCATTGGGATGGAGGAAGGAGGGCAGTGCAAAGTTAGCAACAAGCCCCAGCAGTTGGGGTACCCCTGAACCCCACCCCCAGAAGCTCTCATGTCTCTTGGCAGGGCTCCAGGCATACCCCACACCATGAGCCCACCTGTCTCGTGGCTTTTCCTCAAGAGAGCACCTCTCAGGACCTGTGGGAGTTGGCAGCCTCATTCTGACCAAGGTCACTACCAGGTACACAACTGAGCCTCCTGCCCCGCACTGCCCTTTCTGTTTACACAGGAAGTTCATTGTTGCAGCACCTCTTCCTCCAGAGAGACCTCCCGGCTTGCTCATCCTCCCCCCACCCCCAGTGGCCATCCACTGCACTGGCCAGCCCTCATAGGCTCCCTCTGGTCCCCAGTGCCGCGAGACTCGCCTTGCCAGAATGCTACCAGCACAGGTAGGGCAGAGTCTAGGAAGGGGGCTGCCGAGGAGGGTGGGGCGTGCTTTCTACCTGGGCTTGGATTAATCTGGGCTTCCTTCAGCACAGACAGCCTGGGGAGGACGACATCGCCCCAACCAGAGACACACACACAGCCAGCGCCTTTGGATTTATGAGCTGTCACCATCCCTGCTGTTACACAAGCCTTCTTGCTTCCCACTTTCCTCTCCTCATGCTTCTGCTTGCTTGCTTTTTTTCCTCTCTTTAATAACCCTGGCCGCATATTTTCTCTAAACCAAACCATGTGTTTACCAGCTTTTATAAGCTGTCATAAAGACAGTGAAGACCCAAGAGCCATTTGGGTCCCGGCACTTTCTCTGGCTGTCTCTCCGGGCAGCCCCAGCCAGAGGTGAAGTGTGCGGGGCTTGGAGGTGACAGGTCCAGCAGGGTCCTTTCCCTCCCCCTGAAGGTGCCTGTTCACAGCTGCGTCTCTCCGGGGAGGTTGGCAGAGCCGTGGCCGCCTTTCTGCAGGGATGTCGGAGGACCCGTGGGTCACCTGCCTGTGGCGAGGCGCCCGCTGGGTGAGGACCCGCGGGGAGGGCCGGAGCGAGGTGGCTGCCCAGAGCCAGCCCGGACGGTGCCAGGAGATCGCTCCTCGGGAATGCACTGAGCTGTGAGCTCGGGGCGAGCCCAGGAAAACAATTCGACAACAATGCCGAGCGCCTAGGTGACAGAGAAAAAAAGGGGAGTGTGTTTGGGAACAGATTTCGGCCTGTACTTCCAAGGCATTAGTAATTCAAGCAGCAGCGAGTGTAATAATATTTACTTGGGAAACTATGAAAAGTCATATAACGACGTTCCTTTGACAGCTTTCATCATCGGCCTGCTCGGTTCTGCCACCTAATCACAAACACAGGCGCGCTCTGCCACCTGGCCCCACGCGGGACTCGGGCCCCAGCATGCGCAGGGTGTCCCCCGTCATCGGGCGAGAGTCAGGAGCTGGTGCCTGGGAAGCCACTGTGGGGTAGGACCGCCTGGCCCCCTCTTCCACCGGGAGGAAATCGGAGATGGTGGCGCTAGCACAGCCAGTGGGCCAGAGGAAAGATGAAACCCTGGTTCAACAGAACCCTGCTGCTTAATTTAATTTAATTTAATTTAATTTTGTTTTATGTTTTCTGTGTGGTGGGGTAGAAGGTTAGGAACAGAGGTAGTGTGGCCAGCCATCCAGGTTTGCCTGGGACGGAGAGGGTTCCAGGGCTATGGGACTTTCTGTGCTAAACCCAAGAAGTCCCAAGCAAACCAGAATGAGTTGCTCACCCTAGTGGTGGGGATGTCCGCAGAGTGGGAAAAGCACGGGACTCATGTTGGGATTCATGGTTTGTCCCCGGGTAACCTTCCCAGAGTTTATCTATAAAGGGGGTGGACTTGAGGCGGGGCAGGGAAGGGGGCAGGTAATAAGGCCCAGGGACCTCAGGTGGGTGGCCGGCACCAAGGGGACCTGAAGAAGAGGCTCCTCCACTTCACCCAGCCCACCACTGCCAATTTTTTGTGAAATCTCCCTAATTTGGAAATGTTGGCTCACATATCACGGACATCCTGCCTGGGCCACGCAAAAACATCTGATCGCCAAGCTGGGCTCTGGGCAACCAGTGTGTGGCCTCTGGACTGCTCCGCCTGTAAGTTTCCTGTCCTTTCTAAAGGCCAGTGATTATGCAGCCTCCAGCCAGCCATACTCCCAGTTAACTGGAAATTAGTCACGTGGTGTCCTTTGAGGTAGAATAAGCAAATATGTAGGCTTAAAAGCTGATTTTAGGGGCTGAATTCAAATAAAAAGCAGTTTCTGCAAAGTGTCCCAGGCTGGTGTATCTCTTGATTTATTTGGGTGCTGGGGACTGAATACTGTCGAGATGTCTGCTGCAACCTGGAGGAGCCTTGAAAACAGGACACTGAGTGAAAGAAGCCAGACACAAAAGGCCACATGTGAATGATTCCATTTACACGAAACGTCCAGAATAGGCAAATCCACAGAGACAGAAAGCAGGTTAGTGGTTGCCAGGGGCTGGAGGAAGGAGGGGTGGGACAGTGATTGCTAATGGGTACGGGGGAGTCCTTGCAGGGTGATGAAAATGCTCTGGAATTTGATAGTGGTGATGGTTATGCAACCTTGTGAATATACTGAAAACCACTGCATTGTACACTTTAAGGTGGTGAATTTTATGGTATGCAAATTACATCTCAAGTTTTTAAATGTCAATCAAAATTCCAGAAAGCTTTTTTTTGTTGTTGTTGGCATAAATTGACAAACTGATTCTAAAATTCAAATGGAAACACAAAGGTCATAGAATAGCCAAAGCTGCTTTGAGGAAGAAGAGCTAAGTGGGAGGGGAGGACTTACACCCCCTGACTTCAAGACTCACCGTGAAGCTGCAGTGATCACGGCAGCCAGCGTGGGGCCGACAAGAAGACGTATAAGTGGAGCATGGGACAGAAAGAACAGAGAGTCCACAAATAGACGCCACTCAAATATGGACAACAGATCGCCAGCCAAGGGTCCAAGGCAATTCAGTGGGAAGGGAGAGTTAATTCAACAAATGTGCTGGAACAACTGAATATCCATATGCAAAAAAATGAGCCTTGATCCATACCTTGTACCATATAAAAATATTAACTCAAAATAGGCCTACATGGAAGACTTAAAAGTATAAAATTTCTAGATGAAAACATAGGAAGAGACCTTGTAACCTTGGGTTAGGCAAAGATTTCGTAGATATGGCACCAAAAGCATAATCCATAAGAGAGAAAATTGACAAATTGGACTTAATCAAAATTAAAAACCTTTGTTTTTGAAAGACAGGTTAAAGAGACTGATAAGACAAGCTACAGATTGGTAGAAAATAATTATAACTCATACATCTAGTAAAAGACTTTCATTCAAAATGTATAAGGAATTCTTAAAAGTTATAAAGAAAACAATTTATTTTAAAAATAGGCAAAATATTTTAACAAAGGCTTATTTTGTTTGATAAAATTACATTTTGCTTATTGGATGGCCGATAAGCATATGAGAAAATGCCAAAATCATTAGTCATTGGGGGAACGCAAATTAAAGCATGAGGTTCTGCTATGTACCTATTAGAATGGCTAAAACCAGAAAGACCAACCATAGCAAGTGCTGGTGAGGATGTGGAGGAACTGGAACTCTCATAACTGCTGATGGGAATGTAAAATAGTGTGACCATTCTGAAAACAGTTCAGCAGTTTTTAAAAAAGGTAAACATACACTTGCCATATGACCTAGCAATTCTACTCTTAAGTAGTTACCTTAAAGAAAAATAAATATTTATACAAAGACTTGTACACAAATGTCATAGCAGCATTATTTATAATAAGCAAAAAGTGGAGACAGCCCAAATGCCCACCAGCAGGTGAATGGATAAATAAATCCTGTATACTTATACACTGCACTATCACTCAGTAATGAAAAGGAATGAGTTACAAATAGATGCGACAATACAAATCTCAAAATAATTATGCTGAATGAAAAAATTCAAATTTAAAAAAGTACATACTTGTATTGGTTTGCTAGTGTTGCCATAAGAAATGACCACAGACTGGGTGGCTTAAACAGCAACAAGTTTATTTTCTCACGGGTCTGGAGGCTGGAAGTTTGGGACCAAAGTGCCAGCGGGTCTGGTTTCTTCTGAGGCCCCTCCCTCTCTTCAGCATGTAAATGTGTCTTCCCATGGTCGTGCCCCCCCGTGTGTGTCTGTACCCTAATCTCCTCTTTCCATGAGGACACCCCTCATATTGGATTAGGGCCCACTCTGATGGCCTCATTTTAACTTAATCAGCCACTTACAGACTCTAAACACAGCCCCATGCTGAGCGTTCTGTGGTTAGGGCTTCAACATATGAATTTTGGGGGGAAACAGTTCAGCCCATGACAATACTGCCCTTATATAAACTCCAGAACATGCCAACTACTCCACAGTGACAGGCAGCGGATCCTGGCTGCCGGGGAGGGCAGCAGGAGTGGGAGGAAGGGTGACAAAGGGGCCCGAGGAAACTGGGAGTGCGGGATGTGTTTGTTATCTTGATTGTGGAAATGTTTGCACAGGTGCATATGTATTTCAAAGTTGTCAACTGTACACGGTAAGTGTGTGCAGTTTATTGCATGTCAACTACACATTATACGTTATATCTGAATCATGCTATTAAGAGGGAAAAAAGGCAGGATTTCAGGGGCTAATAATAGAAAACAGTCTCCTCCAAGTGTCCTGGGCCTGGTACTCTTCAGCTCTGGCCTGTCCACAGCTCTGAGGACCCTGATGGGTGAGGGGTGAGGGGGTCTCCTCCACCTGCTCCCCCCTCAGGCCATGCTGCCCATTGCTTGCTGTCTTGCAGTACCGTGGCCTTTCCGTCCCCTGTCCCTCGAGCAGACCCCGTGTCTTCCTCGCCCAGGGAGGATGCCACCCTGTCTAAATGGCTCCTCCTCCAGTAGGCCACATCAACGCCGCCTCATGCTCTACCTCTCGGGTCCCCTCTTGTGCTTTGCAGGATTCTAAGAAGTCCCCCCCCCCCAATTTTATGTCCTAATTCCTGGAACCTGTGACTCTGATGAGCGACACTCCCAGGTTGAGGTAGGCTACGTGACACAGCTGACCTTCAGACAGGAAGACGGTGATTACCGCAGAGAGTTGTACCTGGCTGGCGGCAGAAGGAAAAGCTGGAGCAATTCAAAGCGGGAGAGGGACTCGAGGTGCCATTGCTGCTTGGAAGACAGAGGAACAGGGTGGTCCTGAGTGAGGGCAACCCCAGCTGACAGCCGGCACAAGGCAGGGACCTCAGGCCTCCAGCTGAAGAAGCTGGATTCCGTGAACACCTGGAACGAGCCTGGGGGCTGATTCTTTCTCAGGCTCCAGATAAGCGTCCGGCCGGGACAACACCCTGATTTTGGCAGGGTGAGACCCTGAGCACGGAACCCGGTGGAGCCCAGCCAGACTTCTGACTAATCAATGTGGGTGGGTGTTCGTTGAAACTGCTGAATTTGAAGTAATTTGTTATGACAGCGAGAGAAAACGGACACCCCTCCGAAGAGGGGCTCCCTGCTCACCCGACCTGGGACAGTGCCCCACCCTGGCTGCTCTCTCCCAGCCCCATGTCGTTACCTCCAAAGCCAAACTCCTGTCTGTTCCCTTTGGCTCTCTGCATTCTAGAACGTCAGCCCCACGAAGGCAGGGACTGTGCCTGTCTGTTCACCTGTGGACCTCACGCCCCTAGCCCCAGGCCTGACAGGCAGCTGGCCCTGGATAAACCCTAGCGGATGGGTGAGTGACCCCAGGGGACGGTGCGTCTAACGGCCACGCAAAGTCAAACAGTTTTCGCTGTTCCTTCTTCCTAAGGGAGGCAACTACAATGTGCTAATTTGAATTAGAAGACTGCTCAACTAAGGCTACAACAAAGTCGGATTTTACAATTTTTTTTTTTTTTTTAAAATTTAGGTTATTAAGTATGAAACGTCCGATTTCCTTAAGTGCTAAGTTTGACAGTGAATATCTGTGACGTTTCACTTTGATGCGTCTTGTTTTATTTTTATTGTAAAGGTACATCCTCATTGTTTCAGGCATATGTTTTGACTTGTGATTATCTTTCATGTTTTTTAGAACAATTTTTGTACAACCATAGATAAGCCAAAAATTTCTACCTGCTCGATGTAAGTCAGAATTTTTTCTAGAAGTACAAAATAATTTAACATAAGAAAAAAATTTTAATAAAGTTAGATTTAAAAAATGTTTAAATAAAAATAAAAGAAATTTGTATTATTTTGAGATATGAGTTCTGTTGTAAAACCAATACAACGCAGACAGCTCAAAATATCAACAAAGTGTGTAGAAAGGATGTGGCTCATGAACACACAGCACGTTGATGGTTTAAAAAGTTTCATTCTGGTAATTTTAAACTTAAAAATGAGCCATGTGGGTGACCTGAAACCAAGGTGGATAATGATAAAACTGTAGAGGAAGTGAGTTCATCTCAACCTACACATAAATTAACAAGGCTTGAAGTCACTATTCTAACAGTATTAGACCATTTAAAACAAATTAACAAAGTAAAGAAGCTGGATAGATGGGTACTAAATAAATTTAACAAACATCCAAATTTTTCTTGGGTGATTTTTCCGGATCATCTCGAAGCTTGCCTTTCTTTGCTGTCATGACATAAAAGTGAACCATTTCTATACCATATTGCTACGTGTGAAAAAAAATTATTATTATTATTATTTTTTGAGACAGAGTCTTGCTTTGTTGTCCAGGCTAGAGTGAGTGCCGTGGCATCAGCCTAGCTCACAGCAACCTCAAACTCCTGGGCTCGAGCAATCCTTCTGCCTCAGCCTCCCAAGTAGCTGGGACTGCAGGCATGCATCGCCATGCCCAGCTAATTTTTCTATGTGTATTAGTTGGCCAATTAATTTCTTTCTATTTATAGTAGAGATGGGGTCTTGCTCTTGCTCAGGTTGGTTTCAAACTCCTGACCTCAAGCAATCTGCCCGCCTGGGCCTCCCAGAATGCTAGGATGCAGGTGTGAGCCACCACACCCAGCTAATAATTATTATTTTTTTAATTATAATTTTTTTTGAGACAGCGTCTCACTCTGTTGCCTGGGCTAGAGTGCTGTGGCATCAGTCTAGCTCACAGCAACCTCAAACTCCTGGGCTCAAGTGATCCTTCTGTTTCAGCCTCCCGCACAGCTGGGACTACAGGCATGCACCACCATGCCCGGCTAATTTTTTTTTCTCTATATATATTTTTTTAGCTGGCCAATTAATTTCTTTCTATTTTTAGTAGAGACG